AAGATGGTAAAGTTAGGTATTATATGCATCTTGTATTCGATATTTATGGAACAAGTTATACCAGAAGATGGTAAAGTTAGGTATTATATACATCTTGTATTTGATATTTATGGAACAAGTTATACCAGAAGATGGTAAAGTTAGGTATTATATACATCTTGTATTTGATATTTATTATATTTATTATTATATTTCCATCATGATAGTATGGACCACTGATCGACGTAGTCAGTGTATGGACTCAGTCTGCTCTGTCCTAAATGTTTTTACAATACCATAATACGGCTCATAGGACTGGCCAGGAAGCAACAAACAGTGTTGGTCGGGATGCTATTTATATCATCAATTGCTTATACAATAATTGTATTGGTGTGAACTGAGGCCTTCTGTCCAATAATACGGCTCATAGGACTGGCCAGGAAGCAACAGTGTTGGTCGGGATGCTATTTATATCATCAATTACTTGTACGATAATTGTATTGGTGTGAACTGAGGCCTTCTGTCCAATAATACGGCTCATAGGACCGGCCAGGAAGCAACAAACAGTGTTGGTCGGTATGCTATTTATATCATCAATTGCTTGTACAATAATTGTATTGGTGTGAACTAGTTTACGTTGTTGAACAATAATATTTATCAATTTAATAATCATTAGTATTAGGTTCACTTATTTATTTTAACGTTAAATGGTTTGTTATTAATATGGTTTACCTTTTTAAGTGGTTTTTCTGAATTAAGTTTACTTATTATTCAGAAGAATTGGAAAACCAGTAAGTTAGTCATTTCTGATCTCGGAGCAGGTCACGTGACCATGGAGTGAATGAGAGAAGACTACATTAGTAATTATACGAACTTAAAAAGTCACGAAGAATTTAACAATACGTCAACCCACTTAAAGCTGTGGCTTTAAGTTTAAAATAGGTGTACACAATTATAAGACTTTGCATAAGAAAGTCTTAGATAGATTTTAAATCTTTTTTTTTTACTGCAGTGAAGAAAATAATAAAATTTCTTACTTTGTTCACCTTTATTATTGTAATGAAAGCTGAACAGACAATCTATTCCGAATGCTACTTTTGGTACTTGATAACATTCAAACAGAAGTTCTGACATCACTGAAAAATAAAACACGAAAATTTATTTTCTAGCAAATGAGGATAATGAACATTAAGTAATTTGTAATATATTTTACAATGACATAGGAGAAAACAGTAATTGCACAGTTTACATTATTAATATAAAGTTACCGTTAAAAATATATTACTATTTAATAGCCAGTGTAGCCTGAACTTATTACTGAATGAACTAGTTACAATGACTAGTTCTACTTTAATTATAGTATTTTGGTACTTGTGTATAAAGTTAAAATCGTAAATAATATTCAACGTTAAGCTGGTACACAATTAAAAACATTTTATTTAGGCCTATCTATGCCCTTCAAAATGTTGATGACGACTACATGTTTCGACGTTACAACGTCATCCTCAGGAGTGAATTACAAGACAATTGCCAAAGTATTTATAACTTAACAGGAGTGAATTACAACGTTGTAACGCCGAAACATGTAGAGTCGTCAACTTTTTGAAGGCCATAGATAGGCCTAAATAAAATGTTTTTAATTGTGTACCAGTTTAACGTTGAATATTATTTATGATTTTAGTTCTACTTTGTTATATACATACATAGTTCTTAGTCTGCAAATAGGTCACTAGTGAAAACCGAGTAGATAATAAAAATCTTAACAGCACAGTTTAAATTGAATGCAAGTACCAACAAAGGTTAGAATTCAAAGTAGAACTGGATTCAGTATTATTTCTCAGAAATGTTTTATAAATCATCAAACCTTACTCTTTTCTTAACCCCGTGTAACAGCTATATTAAAACATATGATGCTCTTACATTGTCTTGACATAGGTGGATTGCAAGGTGTTTCCGTAAGAACAATTGGATGATCAACACACCCATCTGTAGTGATCCCAAGGTGGCTAAAAATGTGATCGAAAATCTGCTCCTATTGACATGGTGAAAAAAAAATATTTGTACAATTAAATAATTCTGTATTGAATTTGGTCAAATATGTTTTATATTATATAAAATAATTCTAAAGTGTTCGACATGCAAAGAAATCCATGTAAAAGATAGAAAATACAAACACTACTATGAAACTTTTTGCCACTCTACATAATGCTCAAATCTCACAAGCACATCCTAGAAATAACATTAAGACTAGAAAGTTGTTATCTGTTAAGGTCTAGGGCCAGAATAAAACATTTAAAATTTTTCTATCATGATTGATTGTTTGTTTGTTTTGAATTTCGTGCAAAGCTACGGGAGGGCAATCTGCACTGGCCATCTCTAATTTAGCAGTGAAAGACTAGAGGGAAGGTAGCTAGTTATCACCACCAACCGCCAACTCTTTTATCAACGAATAGTGGGATTAACTGTCACTTTATAATGCCCTCACGGCTGAAAGGGCAAGCATGTTTGGTGTGACGGGGATTCGAACCCGCGACCCGATTGCGAGTCGAGCACCCTAACCACCTGGCCATCCCGGGCCTATTCTATCGTAAATACAAACACAAATTATTTTCAAAATATCATATTCTAAGATCTTTTATAAGAATTACAGTATTCAATCTGTCTAAAAATTAGGAGAAAATAGATTATAAGTACTTCTAAGCAAGAAAGATAAAAATATAAATATTTAAAAATTGAACATAAACAACATTTAAGTGTAGGTCTAGTCTTTAAAAAAATTAAATACAATATCAATGATTTCAGGTATGTTTCTTCATAAAACATGTAGAAAATTTAATAATTTTAGTTAAGTTTCAATTACTCTCTTAGAGTTGAACTCTTAAACTTTTTATCCATAATGCAACTTTTAAATTGTTATATTTTAGAATTTCACATAATGCTGCAAAAATGTTAACTGTTAGTGGAGGAACACAATCATTGATTACACAAAACATTGGTTATTTTCTGGTTTCAACCAAGCCCTTCATTAATATTCTGATGATTTATTATAACAAAAAAAATATCAAAAACAATCTATGATCCATTCCATCTGGGACACTTTCTGGCAACAGAAATGAAAAAACACGCTGCCTCAGACAGTTTAACATAGTCAACTGTACCAATACAAGTACACTAAACGTACATCTTGGGATAAATATTAATACTGATGGGCCTATCTTATAAAATTTTATAAATTTCACTAAATAAAATAACTCTTTCAAACACTTAGAACATACACCTAACATGTACAAACAAAAATAAGAAAATTTAGAAACAATTATTTGTACTTAAGATGTAATGTTTGAATCAATCTACCAATAATATTAGTTTTCTCACCTGTATGTCAAACTGCATGACCATGTTGCGATCAAATTGACTTTTCAATAGCCATCTCACCACTTCGATATTAGTTATATCATTTCCTATTTGAGTTTCTCCTTCCTGTATGAAATATAGATTATCATTATAAACACACTTAAAGTAAACATTTGCATAGAGTAGCTCCGATATAATATTTTAAAGTCTATGCAAGTATTTATAACCACTTAATGATTAAAGGGTTTGGGTTTTGAATTTTGTGCAAAGCTAAACGAGGGCTATCTGCGCTAGCCATCCCTAATTTAGCAGTGAAAGACTAGAGGGAAAGGAGCTAGTCATCACCACCCACTGCCAACTCTTGGGCTACTCTTTTACCAATGAATAGTGGGATTGACCGTCACATTATAATGCCCCCACGACTGAAAGTGCGAGCATATTTGGTGGGATGGGGACTCGAACCTGCAATCTTCAGATTGCAAGTCAAGCATCCCTAACCACCTGGCGATGCCAGACCCTGAAAATTAAAACATTTCTAACAATATGTCTCAAAATGTAACCTGCAAGTAATGAAATTAATAAAATATAAATGCAATAAAAAGATATTTTTCAGAAACACAATTTAAAACAAAAAAAAAAGTAAAAAATAATTAGAAAATCAACACCATCAACAAGGAGTTCCTGAAAAGTTTCCGTAAAAACAAAAAGAATCAAAATAGTTGGGTAACCTGCTATTTGAACCCACATTTTTCAGATAACCCTTAAAAATTATCTTGTCAGATGATAATGTGGAAGTACCAAGAGAGAGTACCAGTGTCCGAGCTAAGGAAGGAATCTTATATAAAGTGATTCTTATTGAATTAAAGAGTGAGAATTATCTGATTCTGAGGTAATTAAAATGAAAGTATTTGATTCCCTCGTATTCATGCAAAAACTATATCCTATGATTTTATTACTTTGATAATTCTATATTTAATTTGACGAATGATTTTAACATCCCCCCCCCCCCCGAAAAGTAAATCAGTATTTAAGTGCAGTAACTTACACAAATATTAGAACAAATCTAATCAATACTAGCAAAAAAAATCTACTTAAATAAGGCCAATGTTAAGTTTCAAACTAACTTGATTTAACTTTCAAACCAAATCAAAACATAAAAACCTAATAAAGATAAACTAAATTATGGAAATGATATTACATAAATTTAATGTACATATATTTTTTATTCTACTTAAATATTTTTCTAGGAGCCAACAAGGAAACACAGTAAAAAAACAACACAATATAGTGTGTAGCAGTTAGTGAAAAACAACGTAAATGGAACAGTTAGAGTTCCTGATATCACAAAAACTAATTTCAACAAATTTTTCCTTCCTCCTCAGTTTTCCACTGTCTTCTGAAACAATGCTCGAGAGGGAGGAATATTTAGTACCCATGGCAGTTAAAGTTAAAACTTGAATCATCAAAAACTTTAAAAAAGCAGAAATTTCCTGAAAAATATCTGACTAACCTTTTTTCCCCTCTGTTTGGCAACTAAATTTCTAAAAATCATGCGAGGCTTTTCATTTGTAGCCCATCCTACTTTACATTGAGAGGATCCTAAAAAATAAAAGCCACAATACTTATTTAATAAACTCTCCTATTAAGATGCTAATCTTACTAGCATACATATTTATAAAAATTGAAATTCAGTTGGTATTTATGAGTTATAAATGACTTTATCAATTGAATATAATAAATTAATTATTTGAACTTTACTAGGAAATAATGATATAAGAATATAATATGTATAAGAGAGATATTATTTCTAATTCCCCTGTCTGGAAAAGGTCTTACAATAACAAATGTTTGAAATTGACAAAAAGAGAAAACTGTAAAGTTTTAGTATGGAAGAGTAAGTCTACTTCTACAGTTTTAAGGCAGTAAGAAAATATACACTACTTATTTAGTTATTGTTTATCATATTAAAAAGGCTTAGTCAATTTTAGAAAGGTAATACTCACCATTATCTATAATAATTGGTGGTTTCTCTTGTCTTAATGATTTTGTGTATTCAAAGTATTTATCAGATGTACAATGTGGATCAGGCAGGTTAAAAACTTTCTGTGGCATTTTTGCTAAGTTTTAAACAAAATCTGGCAGTAATACACACCAACAGAATTACAAAAGTTTGTATACTCTAGAAATTGGCTAATTTAAATAAAGTTATGGCTTGAAAACAATATTTTTTTCATTTGGAGCCATACACTACCAGTACCAATACTAAACATGTGTCATCATCGCAATTTTGAATGTCAATGCCAATCATAAGACTTAAAAATTAATTTCAACCGTTAGTGTTTCTGAATCTTTGTAACTTGTTGTTACAAACTTTCTTGCATTGTTCTTTAAGTTCTTCCCTCTTGTACAAACTATAATTAATTGTGGTACTGAACATGGAAAACTCAAGACAGCAAAACAAGATTCTCTAATATCGTCGAAGTTGTCACAGTCACTTTATAAGTTAGAATGTTAATTAATAGTAGTACTAGTAGTAGCACTAGGTCAATACAGGTATTTACTTTAGTAATACTAGTACTAGGCCTATAACTTTTATTTCGTTATCATACGGTAATGAAGTTTAATGTCAATTGGTACCACCGAAAGTTGTTCAGCTTAAGTACTCTGGAAAAGCATAATCGACGTAAGCATTTAAATATCGTATTCATTTATCTTAAAACAATGACTTTAAATTAATATAAGAATCTGCCAAGGAGTAGAGATCGTTTGTATTGAATTTTGTAGGCCTACACAACGTTCTCTCACAAAACCTGAAAACATTTTTAAATCGCAGGATAATATCGCCGCCTAGTGAGCAGAGTAATAGTAACACCTGTGGCTAACATTTATATGGAAACTCAACCGAAATGGCGATGGAAATGTTCAATGTCCTTATAATGTTTGGCATAATTTCTTTTCTGGTGTCCTTCGGTGGCTGGGTGATAAGTCGGAAGGTTTATAACACTACAATTCAGGTTTTAGACATCCGCGGTGGGCATAGCACAGATAACCCATTCTGTAGCTTGTGTTTAGCATCAAACAAACAAAATTCCTTCCTTGATTAGCCTTACTAAGTAACACTATATGAGTTGTTTCCTAGGTAAACATTTTATTTTTGGATTAGTTGCTTTGCTCACAACATTTGGCGAGCTAGATTACCAAATTTATATGGTCAGAGCTGAATTTTTTGTGCCATGTTGCCATAAATGTTGGGTTCAAATTTTTCTTCAATTGCACTCAAACACTCTGTTTCTTCATAGGAGAAATATTCCAATTAGGAATAAATCAATATAGTGGAAATAACGAGGAGACTCAATAACGAATCTACTAATAATGTAATATTCCGAGTTTGTTTTTGTAAATCTCAGTTATTACATTAGATAATGATTTGTTAGGTATTACTTGGATAAGTTTGTTCAGCTACTCTTTAGTATTGTTGCGTCATCGAGATCACGTGACAATTCTCACGCTCTCTTGTTTCTAG